CATATCAATTTTCTACCCTCTCATCCCCACCCCTGCAAAGTGAATATCAAAGTCTTTGAATGAAAACAACAGGTATGGATTTAAAATGACTGAGTAAAAGAAGAAGAAAGGATGTAGGGATAGACAGGAAGTGTAAAAGAGACTATTAGGTTGTGGGTTTAAAACAGGGTATAAACATGTAAAACCAAATAATGTGCTCAAGTGTTTGCACATGAGCACGGGGTGCTGAATTCCAGTTCAGAAGCAGGTTGCTATTAGTTCTTTGGGTCTCTCACAATCCTCTCAAAGTAATCAGAATGGAACTGGTCCTGTTTTACGGTTGAGAAAGGTTAACTAACTTGTCTGTAGCATCACAGGAAGACTCAGAATCTTACCTTTTATTCTGGAATTAGCAGTAAAGGCAGTTTGTGGTACCTTGAGCAACAAGATTAATTTATACCTTTAAAATATATTCTCCTCGGGGCGCCTGGGTGGCTCAGCGGGTTAAGCATCTGACTTGATTTGGGCTCAGGTCATGATCTCAGGGTCATGAGATCAAGCCCTGCATCGGGCTCCAAGCTCAGCGTGGAGTCTGCTTGTCCCTCTCCCTCTGCTTTTCCCCTCACTTGCTTGTGCTTGTTCATTCTCTCTCTCTCTCAAATAAATAAAATCTTTAAAAAATATATATTCTCCTTATGCTCTATTGATGTCAGAGATTCTAAGATATCACTGGATCACCTGTTTGGATTGTTGAGCTCTAATTGGAGTTGTCCATTATTTTAGTGAAGGGCTGGTGCTGGTGGCAGCCAGTCTTTCCCAGTGTGGGGTAGGCATTGCTGACCTCTCCAGCCTCATTCCCTTAGCTGCTTCTGCAGTCTTCTTGCAGACCTCCCCATGTCTCCTGGAAAAGCCTGGTGTCTGCTTGACACCAAGGTCACAGGGATAATGGACTTGCCCCTCTAAAGTTTTGTTCTGACTCCATCGTTTGAGGTCCTGATAAATTGGGGAGATTTGTTCAAGTTTGTCCGGTAAGATCTGAGCTCTTAATTTTGGACTCAGTGTAACAGCTTCAGGCGCATGCAGAAGCCCCTGGCAGCTCACAACGACAAGCACCTGTCCTCCCATAACATGCTGCACCTGACTCAACGAGGCAGGAAGACTGAGAGGCCAGCTCGTCCTTGAATACGTGCCAGCCCAGCCGGCTGCCAGTGCCCACGCCATCCCAAGGACCTCTCGTGCCCCCGGGGTTTTGTCAGGCACAGGTGTCATCAGGTTTGGTTTTCGAGGCTTCAGCCCTGTTCTGGGATGGCATCTCTCTTGGTAGTTGGAAATCCAAGGCTTAAAAATATGAAGTGCTGCCTTCTTTTAAGTTCTGCATATCTGATGTGCGCTGTTAGGTGTGCTGTGTGGAGTTGCTAATTCAGCGCACTGCTTCCCAGGCATTCCTCTTTCAGTTTGCTTTCCTCTTGCCTTAGAAGTCCCTCTATTCCAGGAAACCCAGCAGAATTAAGAGCAAAATGAAATTTGAGTTAATATAGTCCTGAGTACAAACAATTAGATGTCCCAAGTACTGATTATTCAAGATATCACTTTGGGGGCGCCTGGGTGGCTCAGTTGGTAAAGCGTCTGCCTTCGACTTAGATCGTGATCTCAGGGTCCTGGGATCGAGCCCCACATCAGGCTTCCTGCTCGGCAGGGAGGTTGCTTGTCCCTCTCCCTCTCCCTGCCTCTCCCCCTGCTTGTGCTCTCTCTCTCTCTCAAATAAATATAATAAAATCTTTTTTTAAAGATTTTATTATATTCATTTGAGACATAGAGATACAGAGAGAGAGAGAGCATGAGTAGAGGAAGAAGCAGAGGGAGAGGGAGAAGCAGGCTCCCTGCTGAGCCAGGAGCCCAATGTGGGGCTCGATCCCAGGACCCTGGGATCATGACCTAAGCCAAAGGCAGACGCTTCACCATCTGAGCCACCCAGTTGCCCCTAAATATAATAAAATCTTTTAAAATTTTTAAAAAAACAACAACAGAAAACATCACTTTGCCAAGCCTCCATTTCTCTCAATGGGAAGAAGGGATACAATACACACCTTCACCTAGCTCACAGCTTTGTGGTAAAGTTCATATGATATTATTGTAGGGAAGTATTTCTAAACAGTAATGTGCTTGCTTACAGAAGATATTATTGTTCTTTCAATGACTGTGAGCCAGGCATTCAGTTGGGCGTCTCCTGGGTGGCAAACTGGTAAGAATAGTTTATAGTTTCAGTCTTTCTGGGCTGCAATTTATTTAAAAAATTTTTTTTTCTGGAATGGTAAAGTATGAGGTTTAAATCAGAACCTTTTTTAAAAAAATCAAATGCTGCCTGTGTTGCTTCGTCATACGATGTATCCCTGGATGGAATTTCTCAAAACTAATGAGGTGGGGGGGCGCCTGGGTGGCTCAGTCATTAAGCGTCTGCCTTCAGCTCAGGTCATGGTCCCAGGGTCCTGGGATTGAGCCCCACATCGGGCTCCCTGCTCTGCGGGAAGCCTGCTTCTCCCTCTCCCACTCCCCCTGCTTGTGTTCCCTCTCTCACTGTGTCTCTCTCTGTCAAATAAATAAAGTCTTTAAAAAAACCCAAAAACTAATGAGGTGGGGATGGGTGGGGGTGGGGATGTCCTATCTTTAGCATGTTTTCTCATTAGCACTTCTACACTGTGTGTTGACTTGAATTTAGTTGTTGGTATTTTTTTTCTCATTTCTTCTCAATTTATCCTTTCATCTATTAATGAGGAAGCATTAATAGGGCAGAAGATGAGTAGTGAGGAGTTAAAAATAAGCAGGAACAGATACTCTATGAGTTGGTGAGTAGATTTTTCTAGGTGGTCTTGGCCTATGAGAATAATGACCAAATTGAAATTGTTTTAAAATAATTTGTTCCCCGAGCCTGTCTTCCCCACTAAGTGATATGCTCTTCTGTGGGGGATAGGTCTTATACATTTATATCTCACCAGCATTCATTAGGAGTATCTGGCACTGAATAAGTGCTCATAACTAATGTGCTGAACTGAAATTAACCAACGGCATCTGGCATGACTTGATAAGTTGGAAAGGCATTGTTTTCAACAACCAGGACTAAGTTCAAAACCAAAACATTACATTGGAAAAAATAACTTTCCAGCCTTCTAATATGTTTTAGTCCCCACTGCCTGAAACAGCACAGAGCTGATTCCTATTTCTGAATTGCATACAGAAACCTCATCCCTGCTAGCACAATAACAACATATTTATTGAGCAATTACTCTGTGCCTGGCACAGTTCTTCGTCTTAGACGAGTTAGCTCATGTAACCATCAGAGGAAGCAGCATTATGGGACAGGCACTCTTCTTGTCTCCATTTTATACACATAGTAAATGATGTAAATGGAAACTTATATACCTTTCCCCAGGCGATGTATATAACTTTCCCCAAATACAAACCTAGTGAGTGGTAGAGCAGGGATTCAAACCCATGAAGTCTAGCTTCTGCATCCATGTTCTTAGCCACTACACTAGATTTCCTCTTTGCATGAAGTAGCCATGTAGACCCAAGAGCCTTGAAGGGTGGTTGTGGAAAGAGAAGTAAAGCCTGGTGGTGCCTCCTGGGACAAAAGGAAGGCAGTGTCCTGCATCCCTGCCGGGCAGAGCCAGTCTGGCCGCAATGTCTCCCTCCCTGTAGCATGTTTCAAAACAGAAACATGGAGACCAGACATGGCTCTGACCCGGCAAAATGGATTAGCTAGTGATTTCAGTGAATACTACCAACACCATCAGCCGGGCTGGCTTTCTTTTCCCCACATCCTCTTCTTTAATTGGTACAGACATAATTGAATGATGACATTATGTGAATAATATAGTGGACAAATGAGAAAAGGTGTCAGCATCTGACAGAATGGAACAGAAAGGTTGGCTTCAACCAGATCAGCTGGATCTTAGTGATTATGGCTGCTACTTACTCCCTAGATTTACAGAGTTTTGTCGAATTGATTAAGGAATCTCCTGAGACAGTTGTTGAACCAGGTCCCTCAGTGGTCTAGACTTTCTATGGCTACTTACAGAAAATAGCAAGATATGAAAAGGGAGGGGGCGGTGTCTGGGAAGGACTTCCAGGAGTGAATTAATCATTAATTAACCCTGGACATAAAATTCTTTGTATACTGGCTGAGTTCTTTTCATTGGTAGCCCAACTCATGCTCAAAGTCGAAACTTTGTACGTAGAAACATGGGGGAAATGATTAAAGACAATAATAAAACCTTGGGCACCTTTATGCTATGAAATAAGTGGATTTAGTCAACCTCCTTAGAAATAAATGGGCAAATGAAAGAAGGCAACCCCACTTCCATAATCTCCTCATGGGAGATCTACCTATTGTTCAAGTTGCTTTTCCAAAAGGCTGTCTCTATAGTGATTGTTACGAATTCAGAAAAAGTTTTCTCTAGACACAACATTATACATTGTAGATAGAATACTAAGCTAACCCACAGGAGGGAATGTATCTAAAATGCTATGTATTTGTTACAGAACAAAAAGAAGTAGAAAAATCATCCTGTTGAAGTATCTAGGGAAATTTAATAAGCTATCATTTCACTTTGAAGGCAAACGCTTAAGAAACAGCAGTTTTAATTAAGCCTTGGCTCAGGGAAATGAGGTTCTGGTGCAGATATTGAAGGGGGTTCAGGAAACTTAGAGGAGGCTAAAGGTTTAAAGCTCAAGTCTAATGTATCCCAAGAGTCAGGAACAGTCCCTGACACACTGTGGGATGTGCAGTGAATATATATTGGATGCAGGGTGATTGAACTTTATTTTCACTTCAAGAAGTAGGACTTCGCCATATTGTATAAAGGCATAATCATTAGAGCTGTCTTCGGGTCAGAGATGAAATAAAGAGGGGGAAGGAGGGAGAAGGGGAATGCTGAGAAGCACTGATGTGAGAAGCAAGCTGTCTGAGACATAATTAATGAACGATAAAGAAAAAGCCAGAGATTACTTGGCACAGTCCTCACCTACTCATTCTTCTACCCAAGGGCCAAGGAAGAAGGAGATAGGAAAGGTTTTGGGCCTTGCATTTCCTGGGCCAGCCACCAAAAGGCGCTGTCAGGCCGGAACAGTTCAGTTGCTGGCCAGAGCTCTTCGCAGGTGGGAGGAGAAAGAGAAGCAGAAATAAAATTATTTTGAGTGTACAGCATTAGTTACAGAGGGAGTGTTGTGTATCTTTATTGGATTATATGGAGGGGACATATTTTAAATCCTCATTAATGAATGAAAATATTAAACTGGTATGGGATATTGGAAAGAGCACTGGGCAAAGAGTCAGACCTGCATTTCAATTTTAGCTCCTCTACTTTATAGTCACATGACCTTGGCTGAGGTGTTTAGTTTTTTGTTTGTTCGTTTTAACTTATTTGAAACTGAGTTTTCTTCTCTATAAAATGTGGCTAAAACCTTCCTTGCCTACTTTAATTGTGATCCAGTGAGATTTTGCTCAGGAAATAACTTAGAAAACTATAAAATGACATTCACGTTTCCAGGAGTGTAATAATTTATTCATCCAGAAAAGTGAAGATGTTGGGCCAGATGACCTCTGAGATCATTTCTCCTCTAAAATTCTAACGCTCAGCTTGGCCTGGGTTTAAATGATCATGCTGTTCCTCGACAACAGCTTACTAATGTCACTGGCCTGAGAAAGGGAAACACAGGGGCCTATTCCAGGTTTGATGAACACTTTGTTCCTAATTTCTACTTCAAAGGACCCCTAAGGAGCCCATGAAACATTTTGAACCAAGGTGCTTCTTAATTTCAGCCTGTCTGTTAATGTGACCAAATAATTTGCCATCTAACCTGGAACATCTATGTGTAAAGGGGGTGCTATGATTAATTACACCAAGATAACAGCATACATCAGAAGCATCCCAGGCAAACCTGGATATCTGGTCCCCTTATTATAGGTAAAACATTCAACTTCTCGGGGCGCCTGGGTGGCTCAGTTGGTTGGGCGACTGCCTTCGGCTCAGGTCATGATCCTGGAGTCCCTGGATCGAGTCCCGCGTCGGGCTCCCTGCTCGGCAGGGAGTCTGCTTCTCCCTCTGACCCTCCCCCCTCTCATGTGCTCTCTCCCATTCTCAAATAAATAAATAAAATCTTTAAAAAAAAATAAAAAAAAAAAAAAACATTCAACTTCTCACTTACATGTGGGATAGTAAAAATATTCCTGTTGGATTTAGGTATCCGTACTGCTGTTACAGATTAGCAAGACGCAGTTCTGTTAGAATCTTGGAGGACAGAAACTCATACTCCTAACCTTGGTAGTGAACAGGAGGCTGCTTTTTGCTCTTAAGAAATCATATAGTTGCAGCTTTGTGGTTACAGATCAGAGAATACACTATAGCTTCAAATTTCCTGACCTTTCATTTTTTATTCCACTTTGAATAGGTAGGATAGAAATTTGTCTGATGGGGTGAATGTGCTTGGGTCTCTGCCTGCTTTGGGTATTGTTAGTATGGTTGTGCTAATGCTTAGTAAGTGTGAATATTCATTACATCTCAAACAGAGTTTGGTCCTATGATCAAATATAAACAAAGGAACAAAAACGGCTTGTACTAGAGATTTCCACAGGCCCAGCCATGTGCTCAGGGCCTTTCAAACCAGATAATCCAGGAGGGGTGAGACTTGTGAAGTAAATTGAATTATCAGATCTCTCTGAAAATGTCTCATGCCCTAATACACAAAGAAATCAGACAAGCAGATTTCTGCTATGGGGGAAAAATCGTAATATTTTCTAAAGAAAACCGTTGAACACAAAGAAAAATTCACACTACTAAGGCTAGAAGCAAATAACATAAAGACCAACTTTCTAAATAGTTTATGGAGAGGAAAAATGGCACAAGTCAAAATGGCAGGTTATAAATACCCTTTTTTATTTTTTAAATTTTTAAAAAAGATTTTATTTATTTATTTGAGAGACAGAGACAGAGATAGTGAAAGAGAGCACAAGCAGAGAGGAGAGGGAGAAGCAGGGTCCCTGCTAAGGTGGGAGCCCGACATGGGGCTTGATCCCAGGCCCCTGGGATCATGACCTGAGCTGAAGGCAGACGCTTAACCGACTGAGCCACCCAGGTGCCCCAATATCCTTTTATAAAAAGAGATTTATTCATTTATTTTAGAGAGAGAGAGGTGGGGGGGGCAGAGGAAGAGGGGGAGAGAATCTCCAGCTGATTGAGGAGCACAACTCCAGGCTTAATCCCAGGACCCTGAGATCATGACCTGAGCCAGAATCAAGAGTCAGATGCTTAACCGACTGAGCCACCCAGGCACCCCTATAAATATCCTATGTTTTAAGTTAATTCATTTTGGGTAACCCATTTAGTGTCCTAATTCTGCTTGACTTAGGAGAACATTAATTAAATTAGATCAATAGGCTGCAGGGTAGGGAGAAATAGGTTTCTTTCTTAGAAGAGAAGGGGACCTTCAAAACTTAAACACTGATGATAGAAATCAGTCTGGTATTTTAAAAATCGAGTCCAGTGAAGCCACACACAGATAACCAAGAGTCAAGTAGAACTGTCATAGTGCGCTGTAGCCATTTACTCACTTTAGGACGTCAAAAAAAATTAGAGTTTTTTTTCTGAAGATGTTCGTATTCTCAGTGCCTGGCTCTGAAAAAGGCTGTTCATTTGTCATTCTGGGGACATTTCATCAGGATTTATTTTTTAAAAACTGTATAGTGGGTTCTATGATATTTTTGCCTGAGCCCTAATTACACAGTAAGGAACAGGAGTTAGGGACTGTCCTGGTACTGTGCATGTGTGACGGGTAGATGGTTAGGCTGCCTGTTTGTAGGCCGTTGTAACCTAATGCAAGCAGGCATGACCTCCTCAGGCTGTTAGTGCATTTTGAAATGTCCAGAAAAGACTCTTTGAAGAATGGAATTATCTCTACACAAATATACTTGAATGAATTATTACTTTTTATGGTCCAGCCACCATTCTTATTTTATGACTGTAATTAGGTAATGAATAAAATGACATGCACCTGGTACTTTGTAGTGCTCCAAATTATGCCAAAGTCCAACCAGGCATGCTGCTTGTTGCCATGAGACTCAGTTATATGGGCCTTATTTTTTTACCCAGTTGTCTTTATGAACAGGTGTTCAACTAATGGGATATACCGAGGCTGTTCAGCTAGATCCTTCTTATTAACATCACACAATAATTGAAAAGGACAGATACTTTACAAAGTCCAGCTCAGGGGATAACTCTGAACTTACTATAGGTCGTTTCTCTGAGCATTAGAGAGATGTTGCAGAAAGGCTGGATGGGGGGGCGCCTGGGTGGCTCAGTCTGTTAAGCGTGTGCCTTTGGCTCAGGTCATGATCCCAGGGTCCTGGATCCAGCCCCTCGGAGGGCTCCCTGCTCAGCCGGGGAGTCTGCTTCTGCCCCTCCCCCTGACTCAGGCTCTTTCGCGGGTGCACTCTCTCTCTCTCTCTCAAAAAAGTCTTAAAAAAGAAAAGAAAAGAAAGGCTGGATGGAGCCTCAGAAGACCCTCACTTTGCTTCTAGCGATGTCACTTAAATCTCCAAGTGACCTTGGACAACTTAATTGCTTTGAACCTCCATTTCTTCATCTACCATTGAAGTTACCCCCACCTGCTACAGTATTCCTACCCCCACCTATCTCACAGGGTTGTCATAGGATTTGATAAGATGGATTATGTTTATGAATAGCACTATAAATTATAAACACTATATATGGTTTTATTATTATTCAGTCATCTAGGAGCTCTTCTGAGCTAGTTCCAAGGACTAGAAGACTTTTAAATTGTGAAACCTGAACCAGGTATAATACTAATGAAAGAGGAGATGACATCCCCCTTTCTTTTTTTTTTTTTTTAAGATTTTATTTATTTATTTGACAGAGAGAGAGATAGCGAGAGCAGGAACACAAGCAGGGGGAGTGGGAGAGGGAGAAGCAGGCTTCCCGCTGAGCAGGGAGCCTGATATGGGGCTCGATCCCAGGACCCTGGGATCATGACCTGAGCCGAAGGCAGACGCTTAACGACTGAGCCACCCAGGCGCCGACATCCCCCTTTCTTTAGTCCTGCTTCATTCACCCCAATGCCAGACACCTCCAAAGGATGCCATTCTACTCCCCAGGAAGAGCATGAAGAACACATAATAAAGGGACAGACACTTCCAAGCACAAGTTATCAAATTAGAGTATTTTCTAAAATAGATTTCACTCCTGGGCACCAGTAGACTAGAAATTTGGAAAGGAGTGAGGGGCATAAGAGCTAGGGACTTGTTTATATAAATTTTCTTAGGGAGAAACCACACAAGAAGGAGACAAAAATACAGCAGTGAAGACTAGACTATCCAAAGCAGATCCGTCATGTCCTCAAGAATTCCAGGAAACTTCCATTGTGATCCTCTAGATCTAGTGGCTACAATGGCAGCCATTAGTTTACTGCCCAGGACACACTAAGAGATTAGAACTGATCAATGTCTGCCTTAGATTGTTTCTGGTTTTGTTTTCAACATCAAAGAACAGAGTAGTTCTGAAAGATCTGGAGGGTTTTCATGTTTGGCCACATTTTATCAAAACTACCAGAAGCAAATTAAAAGAAATTATATGGGGATGGGTAAAAATTAACTTCTCTACTTTTTTTTAAAAGATTTTATTTATTCACCTGAGTGAGAGAGAGCACGAGTTGGGTGAGGGGCAGAGGGAGAAGCAGACTTCCCACCAAGGAGGGAGCCCAATGTGAGGCTCGATTCCAGCCAGGACTGGGGGATCGAGACCTGAGCCAAAGGTAGACGCCCAACCAACTGAGCCATGAAGGAACCCCACTTCTCTACTTTTAAAAGAGGTTCTATCATCCAAACATGGCCATAAGCTAACATTAGAACCTGAAGCAAATAGAGTAATTTGACCTTGTCCTTGAACCCCTAGCATTCACGTTGAACTTCTGTTTGGCAAGCCACTATAAATATACCAGCTCTCCAACTGGGCTATACAGATACAGTGCTTCCCACTAGGAACCTGAGTCACAGAGGGAGGGAGTGACTTGGCAGAGAGACCGGAATAAAGGGTGGGGAGGCCTTAGTTCCAGAGCTCAGCCACCAACTAATCCTAA